AAGCAAAAAAGGAAATGAAATGTAGGAAGTTTGGGTAACGCCAAAGCTAAACTAAGGCCTGCGACTATGCACAATTTCTAAGTGTAATTTTGGCTTACATATTCATAAATTAAATTAAATTAATTCAATTAAACATGCTTCACTTTTATATATTTTGAGGAAATTCTCGCAGCGCTAAGAATCGATTAAGAGATAAATAAGGTCTGATATAAAAACAATTCTAAAATGTCTTTAAGGAGGAAGTGCACATAGGAAACCAGTGAAACAAAAAGAGATTCTGCGAGTAGCTGAAATGCAGATCATTGGACAATGAATTAGCCACCATCAGCATTAGCATCAGCATCGCCCAACTGCCAACTGATCGTGCTGATCTATAGAATAAACGCAGGAGAATTAACAATAAATGCCAGCATAATCGGCTCATGTCATGCCCATTACGGACTGCATCCACCCACAAGCTGCAATCAGCTGCTGCCATCGATCGCGCGCTCCAACCGATCCTCAGATCGAAGCGTAAAATCGAGTGCAATAAACTAGCCGGGCAGCTCAGCAAGTGCCCAACTGCATTGAATCAACGCAAAATTGGCCGGCAACAAAGCTGCGACACGCTCGCTAAACGGCCCGAACCGGGTCTGGAGACCAGAGAGAACAGCAGCGCTTGGACGCGAGCTGCGCATGATCGCTGCGATGATCGGCGGATGCACAGCAGTTGGGCAGCAGCGGGACCTGGTGCGGGTTCAAGTCGAAGCGTAGCGGAACTAGCTGCATTTTTGCACGGCGCATTAGCAGGCAGCAGCAACAAGAGGAAGAGTCAAGCATAACAAACATTATGGCCCAAACTGGGACCGAGGCAACAGGGTACCGAAGTGTTGCAAATTTTTATTTGGAAGCAATTTTCACACCCTGTGCGACATCAGGCAGCGGTCCGAGCGAACTGCAGGACATGCGCTGCTGCTGCCGCTGCCGCTGACAGGACACAGCGTGGCGAATGCAACTGTTGACAACTTCATGGAGCGTTTTTGTGGACAGTCGCTGCAAGTGATGGCAAATGATGCCAAATGATTGCAGACCATATAAATTTCGATTGCAGCCAGGTAAACGTGCAACATGGCCCGTACACGCCTACCCCCCAGGAGAGAGAGAGAGAGAGAGGCGAGGCGAGGCAAGGGCCCGGCAAGAGTCAGCATTTTAGTTGCGCTTACCCGGCGATTATTTGCAATTATGAGCTGAGATTTTACAGTTAACAGCGACGCCTTCTGCCAGCTCTGGCTCTGGCTCTAGCTCAGCCGCAACTCCCACTGGAATATGTTAATTTCCAACACGTTGACAGTTGACTTTGTGACTTGTCGCATAATCACCTGCAATCTGGAACGTCGTAACCCAGACTTGACCTTGCCGAAATACAGCCCAAGGACAACGCTGCCTTTGTTTAGCTGACCTTCAGGGCCGAGAGTTGTGCCTCGGGGGGTTTGTGGGCGCTGTGCGGTTGCCTGTGTCTTGTGTTTTGCTTATTGTGGCGTTGCTTTGGTTGATTTGGTTGCTGCTGGTGCTGCTGCCCCTGCTGTTGACCTTATAGATTTGATGGATTAGTTTCCCGTTGCCAGTCAATGCTGAAGGTCGCGCCATTCGCCACGTCTCGTTGCGGCTAACCATATCGCATGGTAATACCAATTTATATAGCCTTCATTATGGCCAAATTAAAACAGCTCATCGGCCATTACGCAGCGACCAAATTGCGCGCCTTAATGAGCACCAACACACGGACAGCTCGAAGAGGTTAGCATATAGCATATAGCGTATAGCTTATAGCGGACTACCTACAGCGGTTTTTATGATTTGTTTACACGACTGCCCCTGCAGTTGTTGGCTGTTGCAGCTCGGTTCGGTGTGTGTGTGCGTTCAGTTTTTAAGGCTAAGACTCGGTTCTCATCGCTTGGATTTTCCGCAGCAATAAAATTAATAAGAACGCGCTAATTTTGCAGCTCCGGCCCCCGCCCAGCCATGTCTACGTCCGCGTCCACGTCCACGGCTGTTGCCTAAGCAAATAGATCGTACTCACTCGTCTAACTCTTTTCCTGTGACCTGTCCCCTGTCCCACTGCCAGTTCCAGACTGTGCCAATATTTGCACAGGCTGTGGCCTCAGCTGAAACGCCATTTTGTGTGCCTTCCAGGCGCGCTTTAATGACATTTACGATCGCCCGAGCAGCAGCAGCAGCAGCAGCAGCAGCGACATCAGCAGCAGCCGCCTTAAGTCCGCAAATAATGGCCCATTAATAGCTTGACATAATCTTTAAAAATACATTTAATTCATTGAGGATGCAACGACAGCAACAACATTACGCGCGCCAGAATGCAACGGCAACATGGGGAAATGAATAAGCTGAACGGGCATCTTTCCATTCACTCCGCACATCTGCTGTAGGTGCAAGCGGGCGCGCGCATGCCCAAAATGCAGTCGACTGTCCAATTAGTTGGCGCAGCCAACGTAGAAACACGGAAAGAGCAAGAAAAAGGTGAACAGCGCATGTGTGTGTGTGTGTGTGTGAGTGTATGAGAGAGAGTGTGAGTGCGTGTGTGAGCAAAGACCATGAGTATTTAGTTGGCTGTGTATATAGTGCAGAGCGCAGTCCGAAAATATATTTACTCCGAATAGCAAAGCGAATGGAAAATTTGCTTCTCGAAAAATGCACAAATGGAATAGGAATAACGAATAAAAAACAAATTAGATTATATTTAAAAATGTTTTTAATAAATGGTATTAATAAAAGAAGAACTAAATAAAAATATTATATATTTTATCTATTTAAAATGTGAATATTAGTCTCACTTATTAACCGATTATATAAAAAGTATAAATGTATACATTTAGGCATACTTGAATCAATTTAATTTAATTTGATTAATAATACAAATTGAATTTTTTGTAAAATTATGTTGCAGTTTTTTCCGTATTTGGCTGAAGATCTTGACGAAATATTGTGGGGTTTAATGATTAGGACTGAATGATAGCGAATGTATAAAAGGAAATTATAGGAAATTTTCAAAATTTATGAGGGTATCAAATTTTAATACATTAACGAAATTACATATAATGGATATAATTTCATAATATTGGAAAAAAGAACAATCAACATTAACATTACGTATACGTAGTTTAAAGTGTTTTAATGTTTTAACTGTTTATACTCGTAACGACTGTTATGCAATAACAAAATTAAATTTACCCGAAATGTCATTCGAATAGGGTTCTATTATATGCATTGAATGTGCCAGCCTAGGCTATCTTCTGCCTTGTGGATAATAATGCTTGACTACAGTCTATACAAAATAACAATAATAATAATATTTATATTTATAGTGGTAATAAACATAAAATAATATTGCAAAGCACACATGTTCCGTAACGAAACATAAACTAAGTATGGCCCAGAGCTGTTGATATGCTAATTTACCGTTATTGATGTTAGTATCAAATTGTGGAAAATAAGTGTAATTAAATGCAGTTAGCGCACCCATAAATTGCAAACTCAACTAAAATAAATTCCATCAATCTGGCAAAACGATCGCTCCGCAGTGATACCGAAAAATGCACTCGCAATAATTTCCAATATTTCCGCCATTTCTTATTGGGCGCAGGCAGTCTATGTACCACACATACACAATACCAATACAACTGCCCACACATATATAGACCCCCGCACACACAGTTGCACGGCAGCTGCTCCAAGCGTTCGTCTCTCGTTTCTTATTTTCACGCTAGCTGCACTCTTCACACACACGCTGCAGCAGGGCCGAGCGAGACAAGCACCGAATCGCTCCTCCTCCACGATCGTTAATCGTTCGACGGGCAGCAGAGCAACAGCAATAGCAACAGCAACACCAGCTGGAAATATGTGCATGAAAAACCCAGTGAAATCCGCTGATATTACCAGCAAACTATTTCTATGTGAAAAATTGAACAATTTAAATAATAAAATGAATAATTATATTATTTTAAGCGTATCTAAACGATTTGTAGATTTAATGTATACTATAGAAGGCAATATTTTAAATTAATTAATGTAATTACTTGATTTTAAATTGCTAAAGTTTAAAATTTATATCAAAATAATAAGTCTTTGAGTGTAAAATAGGTATTTTATCTAGTGGAATTACTTTGGTTAACATTTCCTGTTGGGTTGCAGCCCATTTTACATGCGAACCCGAAGCGAGAGCTCGGCAATTCGTGTGACGACGACGACCGCGACGACGACGACGTCGGCGACGGCGACGGCGACTGCGACTGTCATGTCGAGGCTCGAGCCTATAGTTTCGAGTCTCTGGTTGGTTGTCTGCGATCTGTTTGTTGGCTGTGACTCTCGTCCGTCAGTCGCTCATTCGCCTCTCGTATTCGCTGTCGTCAACACACGCGCACGCAACGGCAACGGCAGCTGAACAGGTTTCAAAAAAAAATCTATTTGTCGAGTCGAGAGACTCGATCGGTCCAGGTACAAGAACGCGCCGTGTGTTTCAGTTAAGCGCTGGCACTGAACCGGGTAACAATCTTTCACTCCTCCGCTCCGGCAACGATTCTACGTACAAAATACTTACGTCGCGTCCACTCTCCCTGCGAATGGAAAGTGTTTAGAGTTCGAGTTCAGCTTCATTCATAAAACTGTTTCAAGTTTTTTACATGTGAAACAAACACAAACCAAGCACAAGTGCCGAGCCGTGTGATCAAGCTATAATATAGCAAATCGATAAGCTAAATTAATACGATGCTCAACAAATCCAAATCAATATCAGTGCGTATGCTAATGATGATTATGCCTCATTTATAGTGTGCTAATTGAACGTGAAATTGCCATAAAAAATATTTAGCCAGGCCAAATGCCAAACGCCAAACTAAACAAACCCAGCAATTGACAGGCGAATCTAAGAATATAATCAAAAATCAAAATAGCAAATAAAATAAAACTGACTAACTGGTCAGCTCTAGTACGCCCAAGCATATCAACAATAATATTTGTGTAAAAAAAAAACAAAAAACTTTATCATGGATTTAAGTTATATATTTATCGTCTGCCTGCTGGCGCTATGCAGCGCCGACGCCGAAAGCAAACAGAAGTCGGGCAGAGGCCGAGGCTCCATGTGGTGGTAAGTAGCATCATGAAAATCCATTTGACATTGAAAACGGGCAGCGGGCAGCGGGCAGCGAGCAGCTGATGTGATGCGCCCACGCAACATTTGCATAAGTCAACAAATTCCGCGGGGAGGACAAACAGTTCAGTTAATTAGCGAGCGCCCGAGAAGAACAAGCGCAAACAGGCGACGGCCCAGCAGCGCCGAGCGTTGCGAGAGCCAAAGCCAACGCCAAAGCCAAAAGTCACAGCCAAACAAAAGCAACAGCCAACTTTTGTGGCACAGGCACGCGCCAGACGCAGCAACTGTTAAGAGAGACACGAAAATTAACGCAAGAGCTGAACCAAAAATTTCCCAGGCAAAAGCCAAAAGATGCCAAAAGGTCTTGGCTATAATGTGACCAATGCTGCGGCTGTGCTTGTGCAGCACGCACAATGCGGAAGCCACAAGATGCAGCAGCAGCAGCAACTTTTTGTCTGATGAAAGCAATTAAAAATTCTAAACGCGCATTCAACTTTTACCCCAAGGGGAAACGCGGGGGTATGTGCCAGTGTGTGTGTGTGTGTTGATGACCCAGTTAATGTTGGCCAAGACATGATCAAAGTGTGCTAAGAATACGTTGCGTCTGCTGCGACAAATGCAGCTGCAGCAGCTGCGCTTCCCAAATCAAGTTCGTTGCCTAAGTCTTTTGATTTGCGCATAAAATTTCGCCCGAGTTCGATTCGAGTTCAAAGCACACACATATGCGTGCCGTAATAACTTTTTATAACGGCATAAATTTCGCTAAAAAAGAACAGAAAGCAAACAAACAAAAAAAATTGTATAAAATGCTGCCTGTTTTTTTTTGTGTTATTTTCTTGCTGTTTTTTCTGTTTTCTGCTGCGGCGATCGCATAAATCTTTTCCCATTGATTTTAATCCGCCTGGGAATCGCATCGATTGCGCTCTGCCGTCGCCAGTTGTTGCTTTTGTTTAAATCGAGTGTTTTTTGTTACACTTTCGTTTTGTTGCTCGGCTCCAGTTGTTATGCATTACGCAATTGTTTAAAGGCAGCAACAAATAAATAAATAAAAATAAAAACAAAAAACAATGCACGCAAAAATATTAACTTTCCCACCGCAATCAACGGCCAATTGAATTGGCAATTAATTTGCATACGCGCCGCTGTCAATAAACATTTGTTTATATTTATTTATTGTTGCTAAACACAGAGCACAACAACAACAACAACAACAACAACAATAACAACTTGTAACGAGAGCAACAACTGCAGCAAGAAATATACTTAAGTATATACTATAACAACTCGCTATATTCGTATCTATTATAAATGAAAACATTTTTCTGGGCAAGGCCGTTTGACAGAAATAAAGAAAATAAAAGATGACAGCAAATGGAAGCGAGTGCCGACAAGTGTCATCAAATATTTGTCAGTGTATGGGGTTGCGTCTGTGTGCGTATGTGTGTGTGTGTGTGGTGCATGCATGAGTAACGCCGGCAATTGACGTGCTCAACAAAAAGGAAAAGCCGCAAGTGAAAAACCAAGAACAACAACATCAACAACAACACACACAACTCAACTCAAGTCAAGTGGAAATAAACATAATGCCAAAAATGAAAAAAAATAACAGAAAAACCAAAAACAAAAACAAATACAAATAGAAATACAAATATAATGAAAATGTTGATCCGTCTTTGCGGCCTTTTCGTTGTGCCCTGTGCGTGCGTGTCCAGCTGCTCGAGATTTTCCCCCTGCCCCTGCCCGCGCACCACTTGTAATTAGGCGCAAAAACCAAGTCAAGCATTAAATAGTCTTGACACGCCCCCACGCCTTTATCTCTCTCTCTCTCTCGCCCACTCTCTCCGTGTGTGAGCTCTATTAATTTGTGCCGTTTACCTTCTGCTCTCCCTCCCGTCCAACAGGGGCATCGCCAAGGTCGGCGAACCCAACAACATTTCACCCATCAGCACGGGCATCATGTATATGGATCCCGCCATACACTCGACGCTGCGCCGCAAGCAGCGACGCCTGGTCCGCGATAATCCCGGCGTGCTCGGCGCCCTGGTAAAGGGCGCCAACATGGCCATCAGCGAATGCCAGCACCAGTTCCGCAATCGTCGCTGGAACTGCTCCACGCGCAACTTTCTGCGCGGCAAGAATCTGTTTGGCAAAATCGTCGATCGAGGTGAGTACAAAAAGGGTTTATATGTTTTCAAATTGTAGATATATATATAATATATATGGTAAGATCTTTGAAAAAGAGGGAAAATTGCTACATCTACATTAAATCTATATAAAATATATATATTTATTATATGAATCTTAAAAAAATGTTAATCGTATTGATATATAGTGAAACTTACTATTTATAAAGACATGTTCCTTTACTTTGCTTACCTGCTGATTCCTCGATATAATATTCATACATTTCCGATATTGCTATAGTTATTAAAAACATCAGAAAAATGTATACTCTTCATTGTGAATGACTGTTCCATAAGCAAAGAAACAGCTATATAGTTCGCTTACCTGCCGATTACTTGATATTATTTACACATAAATACGCATATATCAATTCTGTCTGAACTCTCCATCATAATTAGGCAGCTTGCAGCCAGCTGTGATATTTCATAGGACTTAATCAGCTTGGAATCTGTCGCTCATTGACTGGGCCAGATCCAGAGTTACCCCTCGTGAAATATGATATGTGATCTGGCTGCCCCTACCCCTCCCTTCGCCGCGACGACATAGAATTTGTTGTCAACGCCCCTGTGCGCTGCAACTGGCAATTGCACAAATTGATTTGGTTTCAGTTTTTACTTTACTTTACTTTTGGGCACTCGCCGATGTCTTGTTGTGGTTCTTATTTATGTTGTTGAGTGTCATGTGTGTATGTGTGTGTGTGTGTAGCATGTTTGTTGTTACAGTAATACGATCGGGCACTTGCCACAACTTTGTTGGAGACTGTGCCACATGTTGGGCCACTTTCGCTGTCGCGCGGAACAATGGAATCGCCTTGTTGCGCTTGTCTGCGGCTGCACTTGCTCCACTTGCGTTTCAGCATGTTTATGCTAATTGCCGCAGGTTGGCAGCACCAAACTCTGGCTCAGGTCTCCGGTCGCCGGTCGCGGGTCTCCGGTCTCTCGCATTCAAATCAATCAAAAGTGCTTGTCTGTTCGCCCGCTGCGACAGTTGCCGAGGAGTAGTTTTTAGTTGCAGGTCCCAATCGACCATCTGAGCAACACGGGCAACACTTTTTCTGCGCTCCCCGTCGTCGTCCGTCTGGGATTGTTCTCATTCCCGCTGCCCGCTGCCCGCTGCCCGCTGCCTGTTGTCAACAATAATTTTCATATAAATGTAAACAGGCAGCAGAGCCCGCGGCTCTTCTTGTGAATTGCTTTTGGCAAAAACTTGTGTCCTGCCGTTTTATTAGCTACTGTCTGTGCTACCTGGCACACATTACGATACGATACGATTCCCATAGAGTTCGCCCTACCTCCTCCACCTCCATCTCGTTTAGGTGGGCGTGTGTTGTGCGTCGCGTGCGTTTGCGCCGAGAAAGACCTTTCACTCGTCGCCAGCTGACTTTTATAGACCGGCTCTTGACCTTATCAACATCCTTTTTATGAGTTGCACTCTCTTGACATTTTATGGAGTTCTCGATTGTCGAATTGTTGGACTGGTGACAGCTTTTTATCGCAGCACTTTCATCGCGCTTCCTTTTCCCTTTTTTGGTCTTATATATTTTAATGTGCCCTTGGCCCTAATTAACACCTAGGCCATTAACACTTGGGGTTGCACCGCACAGTGGCTCTCAAACTGTGCGTTAATACCCTGGAGACAGCAGGGATCACCCTGCCAGGTCCAGCCAGCGGGGCACTTTATTTGTATTTGTATTTGTATTTGTATTTTTTTGTGTGTTATCTTTGGGCCTGCAAATGAAGTCAACTGAGGGCGAAGACAACTCAACTCAACCCAACTAACTTGTTTTCTAATTGGTGACACCTTGTCAATTTGGCACGCCACACGCTTTAACAGGCTGGCTCGATTAGTTGCCTAGGGTATTATGTGCTCTTGAGCTGATTTTTTTTCTGTTGCCTTCTTCTTTTTTGCGCATTCTAATCATGAAGGATGACGAATGGCAGCCACCCCAAGCTGCTGCCTGTGGCTTTTATATCAATGTCTAAACTATTCCGGGAACACCGAGACACAGAGACAGGCACAGGCACGGTCCTTTGAGAGGCATCCTTGCTAAGCAGCTTAGCTGAACTGTTGAGCTACCTGAACAGGGGCAGGAGACGCAGGAGCTCTGGCCCTGTCTGCTCTCAATTTCATCAGCCTGCTTGCCACGCCCAGCAGCAACGGAAATCCGTTTAGCAATTAACCTAAAAAAAATTAAGAACGAAGGAGTTTAAAGTCCTGAGCGCTAGAGAGGGGGAGAGGGGCACAGCCCAAAGCTACTCGGATTACATGCATAAACATTTTGTGGGCGTTGTCCGCACACACACACACACACACACACACACACACATACATACACACGCATGCACATGAACTGGGACATTTGTTTGCGTTGGCAAATTAAAGAGTACCTGCGCCACACCCATTATCCAATGTGAATGAGTCGAATGGGCCGCATGAGTCTCTCATGAGCCACTCATTTCTTTCGCCGCTTAATTGCTCAATGTTCGCCGTTTTATTGTCTTTTGTTCGGCGTTCTTTCTGCGAAACATTTGCCAAGCTATTTACACGGCGTAAAAAACAGTCCAAGAAATGCCCACAAAAGGGAACACCACACACACACAATACACACACATACACACAATGCAGCAATTGCCACGCAATGTAACGCGAATTCTTGCTAAGCTAATCACCAAAAGTCAGAGTCAATTTGTTGTTGTTGTTGTTGTTGTTGATGACGACGTTTGCGCATGCGCCGACCGCCTTCTCTTATCACAGATTAAACATCGCACATATTTACCTTTTACGTGAAATTATTTAAAGAAAACAAAACCAGAAATGAAAATGAAACCAAGCAGCACATACACACACACAAACACACACGTACACACATTTACGCAGACTAGAAACAAAAAACAAACATTAACCGGGAATTGAACGAAATAAAATAAAAATTTGTGCCACAATTCCGGGAAATCGGGAATTCAAAGCGGCAATTTCGGGCGGAAGTTGAGAGCTCATTGCTCATAGCTGACACTCTCCATCGTCACCTGCCCGACAGTCAATCACAGCGGCATCAATCATCAGTCGTCAGTCTAGCCCAGACATCAAGTCAAGCCACGCAGACCTGAAGCGTATCTATGAAGTAGAGCTAGAATGAGAGACTATATAATTAGAGCATATATGATCAGCTCGTAATATAAGCTAATATAAGCTCGTAATATAAGCTTAAAAGAAGCTTCAAATTAAGTTTTATACACTCTTAGAAATAACAAGGGGATTTTTATGGAGTAAATATTGAATATAGGTTTTGCGAGCTTTCGGGAATAAATATCATGGACAATAGTTGAGATTAAAAAAGGTCTGCTGCTGCCTCAATATTATTGGTAATCGGGTAAAAGACTAAAATATACTTCATTTTCTGCCCGATAAGCCCGAAATGTTATATGGCAATATATGCTCTATTAACTAGGTCCAAGAAACTCTTCTCGAGTATTCAATAAATGCTTATGCATTTATATTTTTAAAGTATTTTTTGATTTAATATAAATCTATCGGAAATATTTTATTATATTGGGGAGAGCTCATCTGCTTTATTATAAATATAAATATTAACTGAAAAATAGCAAAAAAGCATCCAAAGTTATAGTTACAATAATTGCAACATTTTCATTTGAGCTCTTTATAAAAATATGTCAAGTAATTCTCCGGGAAATACCAGATAGTTGTGTACTCATATAATATATGAGTACAGGGCTACCTGACTGCGCTCATGTGTCATACATACGTACATATAGACGAGGCACACACATAAATTCATGTATCTGTAGCTCTTGAGTTGTAGCGCAGGCACTTGAAAAATTATCTGCAACATGTAAATTCAATTTTCATTGTTCTTTATCTGTGATGGTCGCTCGAGCGGGCGAAACGGAGGCAGTTACTAAAAATAAATATAAAAAAGTCAAAAAAAAAATAGAAGAAATATATCTGTATATGAAAATAAAGTAAAGTTTTCTACAAGGGCCACTCGAGGAGTGGACGACTGCCGGTTGGTTGGCTGGCTGGGCTGTAGATGGGGCAAAGTGTTAAGTTGGAATTTATTGTTGAACGTTTAATCTGTGTCAGTTTTGTGCGTCAGTTTGCAGCAGGCGGCACTCCGGTGCGGTGATAACTTGAAGTGTCATAATTGACCAGACTTTGGAAGACAAGTGCCATTATTCATAGGAAGGAATTTAACTGTTGCCCACGTCGCAATCACTTGAACAAGATTGAGATCTTTTCTTGTCTTGGGGGGTCGTGTCCAAGTGGAACACCCAGAAGGCAAACAAACAGCTCCAAGCTACAGAAACAGAAACAGTTGCTCATATTGCCCCCTCTCTTTCGCTCTATCTGTTACACCTTTACAGGCTGCCGCGAGACGGGCTTCATCTATGCTATCACCAGCGCGGCTGTGACCCATTCGATAGCCAGGGCCTGCAGCGAGGGCACCATCGAGTCCTGCACCTGCGACTACAGCCACCAGACGCGTTCACCGCAGGCCAATCATCAGGCTGGCAGCGTGGCCGGCGTTCGGGATTGGGAGTGGGGCGGCTGCTCCGACAACATTGGCTTCGGCTTCAAGTTCTCGCGCGAGTTCGTGGACACCGGCGAGCGAGGACGCAATCTGCGCGAGAAGATGAATCTGCACAACAACGAGGCGGGCCGTGCGGTAAGTAAACCAATCCTGTTATCAACTCGACTCCAATCGTATCAATCGCCCGATCGATACTCCATTATATTTCTAATGCCTGTCGCGAGGCATCGCTTTGGTTGGCTCACAATTTACGACTTGCCTAATGAAAATCAACGAGTGCTTTGCCGACTTCCGCCCCAATTGGCGACTCCGCGAGCCTCCTGACTGCAGTCTGCTGTCCAGCGAGCGGGGAGCTTCAACAGCAGCCAGACCGGGATCGGGACCGGGTGCAGAGCATCGGGTACCGGGACTGTCTCTCATGCACTCGTTTGCGCCCATGTAGCTCGTATATTAAAATCGTTGACAGCTTCCAGCTCCGTAGGAGAGCTACAAAAAGTAGTCCGCAGCTGCCGCAAGCAATTGCACAGTGGATGAAATTACTCATTAGATGATCATTTATCAATCAAGAGAGCTTTCCTAGCCTGATTAATAGATTTGATTTTACGGAGAAACTCTCCAAATCGCAGATCGAACATTAGTTTCGAGAAAGTTTTAGTGTGTAATCGATTTATCGATCAGCTTAGGCACCATCAAGGTAATTTATCTCGTTACAACTTCGATATCGATTATTTTGTAGAACAGAATCTATCGATTACATCCGACTAACTGAAAGCCGTCAATCAGCCAACCTTCGACTGACTTGTTATTCCATTAAATTTTATCGATAACAATAACAATCGTCTTACTTATCGATAGCTCATAAAGTCGCATATAAGTCTAAAGCTTCATTAAATTGTCTCTTCTCAAGTCAGATCAATCTTAACTTATCTATTAATCTATCGATATTGATTGAAATTTCCCAACTCCCTGCCGAAATATTTAATTAATTTCCACTGTATCGCTGAGCTATTGCCGGCGCCTCCTGCGCCGCCCAGTCGCTAGTTTCTCGCGGGGGCATAGAAAGTAGCACACTGAGCTCCAGAGCTACTAAAGCTAGTCTCGGTCCTGCGCTGGAGAGCCAAGATCTTTGGGGGCCACCATCTGTGTTATTATTTTATTACTTGTTATGGGCTACATCGATGATGATGATGATCATGTGCTGTGCTGTGCGCCTTGCTGGCTGCCAGGGCCCCCCAACTGCGTTGATTTCTTACTTTTGGTCTGGCCAATTACAACAACAACAACGACTTCAGCAGCAGCAGCAACAGCAGCAATAACATGCAACATGCGCACACAGCAAGTTGCAACAACATTTATTGATTTTTAATAACTGCAACAACGTGGCAGGCGGGCCGCCAATCGAAGCGAGCAAAAAACGGCAAAATAATTAAGTGAAAAATATATTGGAGGCGCAGCAGCAGCAGCAGCCTAATAAAGTCATACTAATGAATACCCCTACCCCCCTCTCCTTACTCATTGCAGCACGTTCAAGCGGAGATGCGTCAGGAGTGCAAATGCCACGGCATGTCCGGCTCGTGTACGGTAAAAACCTGCTGGATGCGTCTGGCCAATTTCCGTGTCATAGGCGACAATCTGAAGGCGCGCTTCGATGGCGCCACACGCGTCCAGGTCAGCAACAGCCTGCGCCAGAGCAGCAATGCCGTCGCCGTCGTTAGCCCCAATGCGGCGGGCTCCAATAGCGTTGTGGGTGGCGTCTCCGGCGGCGGCAATGGGCTGCCAGCCTCGGTCAGCGGCTACGACGACGAGGAGCGCATGCTCAACGATCACATGCCCGAGCTGCTGCTGGACAACAGCCATCCGAATGGCAAACAGCATCATCCCAATATGCCATCGCCCAACAGTCTGCCGGTGGCGGGCGCAAGAGCACGCGGACATGGACGCGGTCGCCAGGGACGCAAACACAATAGGTAAGCAGCTCGAGGGAATATTAATTACATGCAATTAGTCAAATATCATTATTATAAAATCAAAATAATTAAATATCTCAGCATAAACTGACCCAAGTTCTTTGTGTTATCTTCTTTGCAGATATCACTTCCAGCTAAATCCACACAATCCGGAACACAAGCCGCCAGGTCCGAAGGACATTGTCTATTTGGAGCCGTCGCCCAGTTTCTGTGAGAAGAATCTGAGGCAGGGCATTTTGGGCACACACGGTCGGCAGTGCAACGACACCTCGCTGGGCGTCGATGGTTGCGATCTGATGTGCTGTGGGCGTGGCTATCGCACACAGGAGGTCGTCGTTGTCGAGCGCTGCGCGTGCACCTTCCACTGGTGCTGCGAGGTCAAGTGCAAGCTCTGTCGAACCAAGAAGATCATACACACGTGTCTGTAAGGGCCACCCAATCCCCCGTATCTTGATAGCCTGTCTAACGCCCCAAACTAGCCTGTCCCCGACTCCCTCTCCCCCTCCCCAGCTCCCACTTTGTGTATGTGTTATGTATTGTCTACGCTTAGCCTTTGTTATTAGAAGTTAAGAGCCTAGACTAAAGCCTAGTTAAAGTCCATGACCCGCCCCCAAATCTTAGCTTTCACAACAGCCTACTCTGACTTTTTAGCAGTATTACATACGATAACATATATATGTCTATCTATATATATATATAGCAAGGACACGACAAGAGGAAAGTGCACAACTTCGTTTTGCCCAGTTTTTAGTTCTATAAGCAATACGCAACCCTAGCAGCAAATTTTTTTTTTTGTAAATTACGTTTGCTGTTTTGTAGGCCCCGATATGAGTATATAGTATGTACATAAGTTTAGTCGTAGCTTAGACATCGTTTTTTACAATTTTTAAAGCGCGTTTAAACCCTCCCCCCTTCCACCTTCTCTAGCCCCTCTACCATTTCCGTTCCAACGAAAAAATTGTACGAAATCATTGAAAACAAGACTGAAATTCAATTGCGCGCACCTGAAACTCTCCCTCTCTCTCTCTCTCTCTCTCTCTCTCCTTCTCTCTCTCTCTCTCTTAGTCTCTCTTTATATGTGTGTCTCTCTCTAACAGCAACGATAATAACTGAAATCTTTAGTGATTACGGTTGTTGTTCAGTTTAGCAGCGACGTTGACGCTGGCAGCGCTGCTTGCATTCCGCTTTGCCCAGCTGCAAAACGCATGTTAAGCATACGCCGTGTGTACTCTACGTAACCAGGGCATGAGAAACGTGCATCAGAACGGAACCAGTTCGGCACTTGAACCGTGAACCAGCTCGAAACGTTTCTCCATGTCCGCTGATTTCATAAATATATATTGTGTACATAAATAAGTGTATGAGTGTTTAGTGAGTGTGTTTTTAGGTTAAGTTTTCGTCTATAAGTGATTACAAGAAAAGCACGCTAGATGGCGACACACAAACAATTATTTTATTCTGTTATTTCTACTTGGAATTTATGAAATTTGCACAAAAGAAATTATATAAGTTAACTCTTTTTTTGCACAACTGCCGCTACAAAATTACATTTATCTATATTATATGTTGCCCTTTCGGTTGTGCGTTCTAGGTATTACTAATAATTAATTAATTGGTAATTTAACAATTAACTAGCCGACTAATTCAAGTATTTTTAATTAATTTATATTAGCGCTTAGACTACATACAATATTGTAAAGTATTAAAAACATAAAGAGAAAAACAACAACAAATTGCAGCAAATGCAAGACACAAATCAATAAAACAACAAACAACAACAACAATAAATAGCAACAACAATGTGGCATTTATTTTGTTGAGCAACTATTTGGTTCAAGTGTGCGGCAATTAGCCTGGGCTTGTGAGGGGTGCAGGGGAAAGGGGGGGGGGGGGGGTGGAGACTGGAGCTGGGGACACTAAGCTGCATTGTCGCTTGGGTCAGGGCTGTGCGAGGTATTTCAATATTTGATTTAAGCAGCTCGGTGGCAGTTTCCCAAGCGCATTTTTTCTGTTGCTGCCTGTCAGCCTGGGCAGCAGCAACAACAACAGCAACAACAACAACAACTGCAACAACTGCAACAACAAGTAACGAGCGAGCAACGACAGTTGCATCTTTTGTATAACGTCGGCGTCTCTTCTGCTGCTGGTGCCCCTGACAATGCGAACGACAATTCCGCGCTGTCAGCGGCCAGCGCCGAACGGCTTTCAACTTTCAGCGACAATCAGCAGCAGAAGGAGGAGGAGGAGCAGGATTAGGAGCAGGAGACGGAGACGGAGCCGGCAGATCTTGGACATGCAATTGCCGGGGCAACTATGCAACTGACAGCGACAGATCTAGACGAGGCGGCTGGAATCGGTATCGGAATCGGGGTACGATCTGGCCAGGCCTCACTGCCCGTTCAGCCCGTTTACCCTCTGATACTCTGGCTGATGCTGTTGCTGGCTCGGCTTACATTGATCCTGATTCCAGCTACTGATCTGCCAGCCTCGAGTCGTATGTGCGCAAAAAGTGATCGTGCTACATGTGTCCACCTCAGTTGACAGTTTTGTTTCGCTCTTTGAGACGCTGCTGCAATTCCCAATCATTAAACGGGTGGGAAATATATATAAGAAAAAATCCGAAAACAAAATCAAAAACATCCGGAATGCAATCCTGTTGTGAGGAAGTCGACAAAGATTTCTGATTAGCTCTGCTCGAATATGTTGACATTCTCAGCTATATTTGACCTGCGCTGAATTTGAATAGCCTGACGAATAATAAAATCAAGTTAATCAAACTAATTAAAAAAATAAATAAAAGTATGTAATTATTTTTTTAATTATAATTGTTTGGTCTCCAGTAAAATATAGTCTTTGTAATGTATATGATGATTTTATAAATTCCCAAATAAATCCTTAGGTCGAATTAGTTTTAATTTTGCAACAATAACAAACCTAGCACTAAAATTATTATATAAATTAGTTCTTAAATGGAATTGATGCATTTTATAAAATGCTAGAGAAGAGCATGCTTTATAGATAATTAAAGCAAGAGCCAAAGATCAGAAGCTATTTTGAAGGAATATTCTGTATAACATGTACTTCAATTTCTAGAAGAGCTTCTCTTAGAGCTACTTTAATATGATAGTTGGAAAGAGTAAAGGCTGTAGTAACAAACCGTGAAATAAATATGTATCTCAGGCATCGCTGGTCTTCGGTTAAGACATATACCAGCCAGGGGCTCGAACCCGGATACTCGTTGTTTGGCTCACAAAGACAACTATTGAGAGCTGCTAATATTTAAACTAAACTTTTACTGTTCAGAGATGGCCAATCAATTAATTTGAAAAGCCTTTTTCTAATGTTTGGCTAGAGCTCGTCGCCCCCCAAAGACCCTCCCACAAATTATGCCACTTGTGATTAGAGAACAGCTTCAAATGCTTGGCAAATGATTCACCGACTGAAGCTCATAACAATGGCTCACACACACACATACACATTGGGCAGCTGGGGTGTTGTTGTTAGCCATTACCAATGGCAATAGTGATAGGATGACTATTACCAATTCCAGCCCCACGGGGGCACATACTAAGCCAGGCTGTGGACGAGGCATTGTCTATTGTGGCAAGCGCGGATGTCGCAAATATGGCACAGCGAGGCGACAATTGTTGTCTCCAAAGAGTCGTCTGCGACGTCGCGGTCTGACATTGCTCCTAATCAATAAAACTAACGAGCGGATTAAGATTATGTTGCACTCAGTGGGCCCACAGAGGCGGCCAAAAGCGGCGCACGTGCATCCCAAAATGGTCTGGCGGCCTAATGAATTGCAACTGGCAACTCGCAACTGGCAACTGGCAACTGGCAGCGTGCAACGTGCAGCATGCAACGTGCAACGAAATCAAAATGCAGCCAACTCATCTCTGGCTGCCGCTGCTTGCTGGATGTGACAATGACAGTTGTTGTTCGTCATGTTTGGAGCATGTAGCTCCACTCGACCCGACTCCACTCCACTCGACTCGACTCGAGTCGCCTCTTTGTGTTGTAATTGCAGACGCCACACGTTTGCGCCGCTGTTTGATTTGGCAAATGCAACGGTTCGACATGGATATCGAGCCACGGTCAGCTCCAAGATCTTTTCCGATCACTTGTCATGCAGCTCACGCGCCAGAGCTGGCATGACAAAACTTTCAGGCCAGCCATTGGCTGTCCCACTCTCCCCCCTGTGCCGTACGTTGCCCGGCAAAAAGGGCCGAAATATTTTCGACACATTGGCTGCTGGAGTTGTAGTTCGGTGTTAATTAAGTGGCAATTGTTATGCTCGAGGCGTGAACCGTGAGAATTTAATGGATTAGACAAATAGTCAGCTTTGCCAGCCCACAAAACCAGGGCCCACTGCCTACAGCACCAGCTCCGGGCATGCCTACGGCTATCAATCATCAGCGGCTTTGGCTGTAGCTGCTGCTGCGGCTGCTGCGGCTGCTGTTAACTGTTTACAACTGGCGACAAGTTGAACTACCAGGAAGCAATGACCAAGCAGAGACCACCAGGCGAGAGACGCAAAGACCCTCAGAGACTAGACCAGACGAACAGACAGTCGGTCCGACCTGGCCATGTAATTAACAGCACGCAAAAAGTGTTGGCAACACATACATGGACATTGGCACATCCAATGGGGCACATATCCACATGGATGCCACGGCGACACGCATGTAAACATTACCATTTTTGGCTAAAGACGCGACAGCTGCCCAGGGCTGACCAGGGCAGAGCGGGGCAGCCAGCTAGCTGGGTGGCCGCAGCTCATAATTGAGTTACAATCGGGTTCAAAGTCAAATCGAACCGAGTGCTCAACTTTCATTTATGTCGCTTATGCCTAATTAGCTTTAGTTTTTGTTTAACCTTTTCTTTTTATATATATATAAAGCACTTCTTTTATGTATTTTTACTTGTTTTTTGAGCATTTCTTGTGGCCGCGTAAAAAGGTTTCCCATCATTTGGCTTCCATTATGCAGCGTTCGCGGCCACCGAATTCCAAAGGTGCGTCGGGCTTGCCCATCGTCTTGGCGGGCAGCGAGGGGTCTGCCAGCGCCTGGGTGCCCACTACAAAATTCACAGCACAACGGGCCAAAACGGATGCGAACATTTTCAGTTGTTGTTGCTGTTGTTGCTGTTCATTCAGTGCGCCTTTTGCAAGCAACGTCTGGAGGATGAGGCTTTCGACTGCTCAGCGATCATCTCATCGGGGCGCTTTTGTGTCCATGGCGCGTCCTCTGTCCTCTGTCCTCTCTTCACATCGACATCAACGCCGTCCTTTGTTCGCTGGCCCTTTAAGTGAACCCGTTTCCCCCCTCCTCACTCTTTCACAGCTTGTAGAGACAGCGAGACGCGGGGCGTTGGACTTGAGATTTTGTCTGCCTGTGCGCCAACTTTGTTTAACTTTGCTTTATTGTCTGTTGTTGGTTTAGTGGCCTTGCCAAAAAAAAAAACAACAAAAATTATAATAATAAATTAACAAATACAATAAAACAAGAAGCAAACATTCAAGACCAGGGGTCAATTATGGTTTCATAATGACATTTAATGGGAGAATTGAAAGTTGATCGAAAATGGAAGAGAAATGTTTGCAACTGGAGTTGCTTACTTCGTTTAAAACGAGTATATTAATCAAAATGCTTTCACTGCTCAGAGTTGAGCTAGCTTAGCGAAATCAGTATCTAACTAGACCTTGTAATTAATCGTAGTCACAAACTCTACCAAGAGTTTTGACGTAGTCTATTTGTTATATTTTTATAAATGCATGCTTTCAGCTAGGTTTATGCTCTATCGATTTGGAGCTCAACAAATAATTTGAATATTTTTTGTGGAAGAAATTTATCTGACGCAGCCCTATTAACTAGCTAAATAGATACTAAGCGCTGATTATATAAAATTCGTCAAATTACCTAGTCAAACAATATTGATATAAGGTATAATAACAATAATGTCACATCCTCATAGAGAACACGAGAAAACGTTACTGAAACAATGTGTAATTAAATATTAAAAACTTTCATTGGTAGCTACCGCGATAATAA